AATATTTCAATAAAATAAAATCCAATAATTAAATAATACCGTATACGTGTATTACTACGGAATTTCAATTACTACGTGGAAAATATTACGGATGGAAAAGTGAATGAAAAATAAAGCATATGAAAAGTACGGATTAATAATAATTAAATAATTTAGATATTGAGTGGTTACTCAAATTTCTTTTAAACAGAAAATTATATTTTATAATATTGTTCGACTTGTGAAACTTTTACAAGAGTAATACTCATATTTATATATACCCTAATCGTGCAGTTCCGATTTCAAATTTTTGACAAATAAATCAACAATGTATGGCAATAGTAATTTTGATAATCACATCACATTATTATCTTCTAAGCATGATTGATATCGTCAGTATGTTTGGAAATAATGAATATGGGCATATTTTCCAATATCATAAGAATAAGAACAAGAAAACTAATAATACTTTAGTTGTATTAAATGTAGCAATTAATTTGGTTCATTGACATTAAATTATTTATTACTTTTGTTTGAATATAAATAATCTCCCGCCAATTTATAAAAGTTATATCGAAGATCAACTGTTTTCTTCTGTGATCTACTGTTTGAGTGCAGTAAACGTTGGCACATTGCAATTTATTGATGGAATAACGAATTACAGGATTTATTATATTGATATTTTAGAACATAATTTTCTTTCCAGTTCAGAAAAAATGGGTATTGAAGATCGTTTCGTTTTTATGTACGATAACGATCGAAAATATACTGCATAAAATATCAGAATGTGGATACTGCATAATAAACAGACACAGCTAAAAACTCAACTGCAATTTTCGTATATCAACCCGATAAAACACTTGGGGAATTATTTGGAACATCTCAGATCGGAAAAAATCGAAGTTCTTTAAAAGAAAGCTTAAAAATTTTCTTACAGCGAAGTGAAACAAAATTTCGTAATACATAACCTCAAATTTAGGTTATTTAATGTCGGAAAATATGAATTGACTTTATTATTTAATTTTCTAGTCTTAAACTAAATATTTATTATGTTAAATAGTATTTTTTAAGTGAATTTTGGAAAACTTACTGGATGTGCGAATACTTTTTAACAGTAAATTTCAACTAATTTCTTTTTTGTGTCTTATTAATTTCACAAATTATCCAATCATTTTATAAATTAGTTTTACGATAGTAAAATGTAATTATGAAAAAAGTAAACAACTTATAGAATTCTATGATATATCATTGTAAATACAGTATAACTTTAAATTTTATTCCTACGATGTTCAATGTGGGGACCTTTTATAACACGGCAGATGCCCCAAATTCTGTGATGGGAATGTAGTGGTACGCCATCTTATTGGAAAATGGATTCTCTGGCTGTATTCTCTTATAATTGTGGCATTAGATAATTCTCAAGCATATTCAAGTAACTGAAATTCCAGTTACAGTTGATTCAACAAAAATTAAAGATCCGTAAATTTTTATGATTGCTTTAAGCACAGAAAACATTTACTTTAGGCGAGCCTCGTATATTTTTTTATGTGAATTTTATGGTCATTCTGTATCAAAACATTATGACGGTATACTTTACTACTTGTATGAAAAGTTGTTTCGTCATTGAACAGAATTTTATTCAAGTAATTTGGATTAGTATCAATGTTTTTCATCATTTCAACACAAAACTCACGTAGTTTGACTTTATTCTCGTCATTCGAAGCTTGTGTAAGTTACAATCGGCTGTAATAAAACTCGACAGTTATATTGTATTCAATGACGTATCACAGAATTTTCTAAGTTGTTTACTTTTTCCGTAATTTGGCTTAACTTTTGTATAACTAATTTATAAAAAAAAAGCCGTAATAAAATAAAATTATAATTTATTATGATAATTTGTAAAAACAATATAATTTACACACAGATAAATTATTATTTTATAATAAATATAATTTTATATAGGTATAAAATTATTATTTTTTACGTAATACATATTCTAAAGATTTTTAAGGATACGTTTATATTCTTTGTTTAGAAAAAAAATTAATTAATAAACAATTTTACAAAGCCTTATGTAAAATTGATTTGTATAAAAATAACTTTCTACATCTAAAATAAGTAAATTTGACTTGTACTCACAGATGTCAAGTTTTGAAAGAAAATAAAATGGAATTATTGACAAAAGGAATAAAATAGAAACGAAATATTACAAAAATAAATAATAAATATTAAAAATATCGTTTTTACAACAATGCTAGTAATAAAGATTTGAAAATAAAATTAGTTGGGAATACATAATCCCTTTGCGTGTCGTTCAGTCTATAAAAGTGATTTGTTTTTTTTCTCTATTTTTTGTTTTTTTTTTTTTTTCATATTTAAATTTCTCACACCTTTTTTATTCCACATTCGCGTGCACGATTTCATTGTTCCACGGTATTATTAAGTGTACATATTACACATATACATAAATACATATTTACATAGTATAAACGATTTATTAGTCTCTTGCGGTTAAAAATCGTCTCTTGTATTTTCTTTTTTATTATTTTCTCTCTCTATATATATATCTTTTATATAATAAACAATTTTCTAATATTCGTTTGTGTAAAGTAGATAGGATTGGAGAAAATACACAAAAGATAGCAAGGACTTTGCATTTTCTCCTTTTTTTTTTTTTTTTAATTCAGTAAACATCGTTATTGCATCGTTGCATCGAGTAGTATAGTATTGAATTTTCTCCTACTTTTTTTTTTTTTGTTTAAAAAGAATTATAGGATAAAAGATATTTAATCGTATTTTCTCTTGTATTTGGATTTGTATACACATAATCGCTATGTAATTCATTTTAATGCATAATACATATACAAACACGTAAACACACATATATATATATATATACACATACACACGAATTCTCATACGTATACGTTTCATTAAGTTCTGTACATATCTATATATATATCTATATATATGTAAATGTGTTCTAGTTTCTGGTGTTCAAATGATTGTTTATACATCGTATATTTCTAATCAGTTGTGCGTTACATGCCTCGTCGTTTAAATTGTTGCCATTAAATTGTCGCCATTTTGTACATTTAATTAGAGCACCGTTCGATGATTTGCCGTGTACACTTTCTTGGATGTCTTTTTTTCTTTCCCTTTATCGTTATCCCTCTTATCTTTATTCAAATTGTATTATTTTTTTTCTGTTTTTTTTTTCTTTTTTTTTTTNGAGCACCGTTCGATGATTTGCCGTGTACACTTTCTTGGATGTCTTTTTTTCTTTCCCTTTATCGTTATCCCTCTTATCTTTATTCAAATTGTATTTTTTTTTTTTTTTTTTTTTTTTTTTTTTTTTTTTTAAATTGCATTTACCTGGCTTTAATGTATTATTTAATGTTATTTATTTTTTGTATTTTTTTTTTAATCGGTAATCATACCTTGCTTTGAAATACGATATATATATATATATAGGTTTTGCACTTTAATTTCATCCTTTTACACTTAAAATCCAACCATTTGCACTTTAAAATCCTACCCGTTTATGCAAGTCAAATTGCAAAGGGGGAAAAAAAGGGGACGAATCTGACTTGCAGAAAAGTATGGAATTTTAAGTGCAAAAAGAGGGTTGAATTGGATTTGGTAACAAAAAAAAAGGGCGAAATTTATCACAAAGTACAAAACTTATAATATATTTGTCTTTGTTGGGGCGAATATAAAAACATTTTGAGCGGGACTTTTTCGGAAATGCTAAACAAACGAACAAAATTTGTATTTTCTTTAAAATTCTTTGCGCGCGACGATGTTGATATCACTCTCAGCAGGAGACATCCTCGATTGTACATGTGTCCTTCGATAAAAAAAAAAGAAAAAAAAAAAGAAAAAGAAGAAAAAAAAAGCTTCATAAGATAATCAGGTATATTTTGTTCTAAACAAAGTATCATGGTTAAACAGTTCCTATCTTAAATATTCACCGTACGGGAAATTAATTGCCGATAATTCGATAAAATCGATGTAACATGTTATAACAGAAGATGTGTGTGATTAGATATTAGATATATAGGAAAGGTAAAATATAAATATACATTTGTATTTGATACGAGGCATGCAGGAGTTAATGCACTTCTTATTAATTACATTTGTTAAACGAATGGTTCATCTTTACGAAAGGATTCTTCTTGTTTATACAAAAAAAGGGAGAGTTTTCTCTTCTCTCAATAATTAATCTCGTCAAAGAATACATCATCGTATAGGATAAATTGTAATTAGGTATTGCGTATAATGAAAATTGTGTATAGCATAAATTATCTTCTTCATTCGTTACGTTCCTTCGAATATACGAAGGTTACCATTGTTGATTTTCTCTCGTAATAGGTATGTCGTTAATCTTCACGTCTTATAAATGAAATTTCATTATCCATTTGATCTCTCGTAAAATGAAATATATAATTATTATTTCATTTGTGAAATAACTAATTAAATCTATAATCGAATGTATATATATTAATAGTAAATCATTAGTCACGACGACACACACATTAAAACCCCGTAAAATCCTTTCTTTTTTCCCCCCATTCTTCAAATTAACATTCCGCAAAATATAATTTGCTTAATCGTGAACGAAATCGTGAACGATATTTAATAGGACGGATTATATATCTTATCGGTTGGGTTTTTTGTTTTTTTTTTTGTAAAAATGGTTACGCGTGTGTTACAAAAAAAACACGATAGAAGTTGTTGATCGTCGGATGCCATCACGCCTACCAATTACCATCACGCAATTGTTAATAAATTGGTTTCATTTGTTGCTTCATGTCTGAGCTTTTTGAGATGATGATTTACACACTTAAAAAGAAAAATTAGTAATCATCGTAGAAAAACTAGGAACCCCCGGGGGGTTTAACTTCGTAAAGGAATATTATTGGGTATCGATCGGCACACCACCGTCTCTCGATCTCTCCCACAGGATCAGACCACAATGAAGGACCGGGCTTCTCTGGGCCCCTGTTTCTTGTTCCCAGGCGGTGAGCGCCCCACACAAATGGGAGGTTTTCACTTACCTGACGCCAACCTTCTGCGACCACTGCGGCTCGATGCTTCATGGTATCTCGCATCAGGGACTCAAGTGTTCAGGTAGCTAAATAATTGAAACAAACAAAAGACAAACAAATTCTCTAGTATAATAACAATTTAGCCCATTTTCTATTTAACGATTTCTTTATCATCATTCTCTCTCTCTCTCTTTTTCTCTATTTATCGACAACGAAAATCAAAATCGCAATTTTTTTCAACGTTGCTGACGTCTGTTGCTGCCGTCGCTGCCGCTGGTTGTGTTCCGTTATCTGTAATGTTTTTTTTTTTTTTTTATTCTTTTTAAAATAGGGGGGGAGGGAACATTTTTAATCGGGCGATAAAAACGGTACGCGATTGATTCACTTCGAAAGAAAATCATCTTTTCATACTTCTTCTCATAGATTTGGGTGGCTCCTGATATTTTTCCCTCGGAATATTATTTCGCATTTTGTTTATATATTATGGTTTCTGTTTGTTTTTTTTTTTTTTCAACCAATTAATTGGGTCGGACGAAAATTTCGTGCCGATTTTTTCTTTTTTTTTCATATTTTTTTTTTTTTTGTTTCAAAAATATTTAACAGGTGTTACATTTATTACGATTTTATTATTTGATTCCTATGGAAAACTGACCAACCCTTGCACGTGTCCTTGACGAAACTTTGACATTGCTTATATCATTAGATTGTTTCGAAAAATTCGTGTCGAGTTTGGAAAATATTGTATGGAGTATATTTAACCAGTTAAGTGTGTTTGACGACTATATCCGTCATGRAAGAATGGCAGAATTTTGTGTTTTGACGGCTATATCCGTCATGCGTAAAATTTTGATACAATTTGATATTTAAATTGTAATTCTGGCGAAAACTAAATTAAATTCGTAAATAATAATATGTTTAGAATGTTTAGGGGTCAGGACGAAATGAAATAAACAAATGAAAATTATAGATAATTTSAGTYGGACAYTARATCTTTGATTATCCCGATTTTTATCTTGACGTGTCATAACCAAAAAAACAAAGTATATTAGATTCTCCATCTGCGATGATGTCCGCGACGTCTAACCAAGGAAAAAAAAAAAAAAATTATTTTTTTTGTTTGTTTGTTAAATATTTGATTTTTTTTAAGTTTTTCGTTAATTATGTGTAAATATAGCTTAACGTTGATCTATTGTTTGAATATTACTTATAAATTCATTCATTTTCTARAATAAAGTCGTCTTTTTGACCGAATATTTCAACAGCACCACTTACTCTGTGTTTCACGACTATATCCGTCATCGCTTGATTATCGCGACACACACTAGGGCGCACTTTGCAAAATGATCGACACAGTTAACTGGTTAAAAATATAATATATATATAAATCAGCGTTATATCCATTGTCCTACAACAACGAGTGAGACTCGTGATAAGAAATTAGGATCAAAAATAATAAGGACGAGCCTGACTCGTGGTACTTCGTTCGGATCAAACTTATAAGGAGACCTTACGGTTGTACTTTCACGGATTTTAACGAGCTTTGGTATATTAGTAGTATACTTTTAGGGTGTTAACGTGGTAAAGTATTTTATCAAAATGCGAAGCCAATTTTGAGAAAAAATGCTTTTGAAGTTTTGATTTTTTGTATACATATTTATATTATCTTAAATGCGACTGTTTACCAAATAGCGCGCTAGCATATGTAGCAGCGTTCTCGCTTCTTATGCTGCTAGTTAGTGTTCGATCCTTCATCGGGTAATTTTTTTTTTAATAATTTTTTTCTATCTGTTTTCAAATTGTTTTTTCATAATTCTTAATTTTTAAATATATACAGAAAAGAGAAAATTATTTATTGCAAAAAAATATTAGGAATTATTTATTCTTTAACATCTTGTGCGCAAATTATAAAGGAAAATTGATTTTAATTGAATTACAGTTAATATTTTTTTTTTTAACAGGTATATGAAAAGTTATCTTCAATATACTAACAAATAAAAATTATACATGAAATTGTTAATGAGTAGACTATATAGGATTGTTATTTGTTAATATATTGAAAATTTATCTATTTTCATATACCTGTTAAAATATAAAATGTTAACTGTAATTCAAGTAAAATCAATTTTCCTTTATTATTTGCGCAAGATATTACAAAATTTATTATTTCTAATTTTTTTGCAATAAATAATTTTCTCTTTTCTGTATATATTTAAAAATTAAGAATTATGAAAAAACAATTTAAAAACAAATAGAAAAAAATTATTAAAAAAAACTTCCCCAATGAAGGATCGAACTATTAACTAGCAGCACGAGAAGCCAGCACGCTACTATTTACGCTAGTGGGTCACCTGTTAAACAGTTGCATTTAAGATAATATAAACATGTATACAAAAAAATTGAAACTCTAGAAGCTTTTTTTTAAAAATTTGTTTCGCATTTTGATAAAATACTTTACCACGTTACACCCTAAAAGTATACTACTAATATACCAAAGCTCGTTAAAATCCGTGAGGGCACAACCGTAAGGTCTCCTTGTTAAACAAATACGAGTTAGACTCGTTGTTCAGTTGTTCTCGATATTTCTTTTCTTAATTAAATGTAAAAAGTGTAATTTTGTTAATAGTATTATTGTCCAATTGCAATCGGGAATTAGCGGGTTGAAAACAGAATTAACTTTTCAGGATATTAAAAATATTTATAAATTGACACGAATTTTTTATTGGGCAACACTTAATATAGTAAAAATAATAATTTATATTTTTTTATATAATCTTCAAACGAGAAACTTTATTTGTAATATAAGAATATAATAGTTAAACATTTGATCAAGACGGTCTTGATAGAAAGTTTAGGGGTCGTTTAAAAAATACGTAATTTATAAATAAGCACGAATTTTTCGGTTTTAAATAGAAAATCACATAAATTTTATTTTAACGTTAAAAAAAGAAAACCTATACGCGTAGGATTATATATTTATTTCGTAAATCAACGTATGTGAATCAAATTCTATAGTGACACAATATTCCAAAGTACGTTTTTAAATATATTCGAAAGTAATATAATGATTATCCTAAAGTTAATAAAACATTCTTGTTATAAACTAAACCGTGATGTGTAACATAGGTCTTGCTAAATGAATGAATATTCCTTTTCATATCGTGCCACGTGCACTTTCAAGTAATCCCCAAACGTTTCTGAGTGTGTGTGTGTGTGTATGTGTGTGTTACGCTTATTGGCGAGTTTTCACGCGAATTAAAAGCGAAAAGTATAGGAGGAAGTCAAAGAAATTCATCTTTAGAAGATTCAACACACCAAACACACAAATGGCACGTAATCTCATGAAGATTTTGTTCCTCGATTATCCTTTTTATCGTTTATCACGTAGTAAGTATTATTCTTTAATTTCATATACAATTCTCAAGGTTACGATCTTTTTCATAAAACAGAGTATATCGATTTTAAATATTTAGAAAAAAAAAAAAACAAGAAACACATCTTCTCCAAACAGAACATCAAGATTTTTGCAGTATTATGCTATTTATATTATATTGTCAATAGTACGCTAGTAAAATTTGTTTTTAAAACCATGTATTGGTGTTTCTGCCTAAGTATATATATCAACATTTAAAATAGATCGTTACAATACATTTCTTTGTCTTCCCAATGTATAAGTAGTTGTTTGTTCCTTTGTTTATTCAAAATCGATTCCTTTCAATCTCTCACTTAAATCTTTTTTCTGTCTGTTTGTCTGTCTGCTGTTCCACTTTCTCTCTCTGTCTCTCTCTGTATTTTCCCCCATCATTTTTTCTTCTTTTTTTCTTTCAAACATCTCGATGTAGCTGCATGATTATGTTCAACGAATTTTGAAGTATCAGAAATATCCGCATGTACCCCGCTCCCCCCGTCATTATGATGGAATGTTTATAATTGATTTCTTTGACACTCGTAAGTAGTGAAACGCGACTTAATTGAGAAAGTTTATTTGGATAATACGACAATAAATCATGTAGAAATATACAGAGGGTGATTCACGAATCGAGAGTGACCGATAGAAATTAACTTTTTTTCTTTTATTAACAATCTAATCGCGAAAATATTTTTATCGAGTATTGCACGATTATGCAGGGGAAATTAATTTTTTAACGTTTATTTAAGAAATGTATTTTGTAAATATTTTTTTGGCTTCATGATTTTTCAAGATCATCTTGAATTCTTTTTTTTTTGCGAATAAAGTATTTAACTGTGCAGGAAATCTTTTTTTTTCATACAATGTATATTTTATGAGTTTTTGTTTGAAACGTCACGTTCCGTGACTCACCCTGTGTATATATACATATATGTATTTTTAAATAAATATATATATTTTTACACGAGAATAATTTACTTCTATAATATAACATACGTTAAAATTTTAGAAGCGAGTATACAATTGTTATATTCGCAATAAAAGTGGAAACAAAATATTGCGAACAAATGAAATTTCTGAAATACGTTTTTACATTTGTTTTCTTTGTTGTTGTTAATTGTTAATAATATACATTCGTATTTAATGGCGAATAAGGAAGTATTATTTTGTAGATTAGATCTAAAAGTTTATAAGCAGGTTAGGAAAAATTTGATATTCAATAATACGATATGAATGAGTAGCTGTTCCAGTTGGCCGCATATTTTGTGAAAAAGGACTAATATAAATTAAATAATAAAAGCAGTGAATAATATATATTCAAAAACGGAATTACGAGTTCTTTAAGTACTAATGCCATTCCTGAGGTTTACAAAAATCGATTCCTTTTTATTTTTCTTAAATCAGCAGTGTCAAGATTTCTTTTTACGAATTTTATCTGATATACTTGAAATTTTAAACAAATTTTCTTAAACATATATATTTTCCTTGAAATTATGATATCCTTTTCTTTCTATAATGTTTTGATATTTTATCTTTTATATCGCAATTATTATTCAAAATTTTATGGATGATATTTTCTTCTTCAAATGGCCGCCGCACACACACATTTTGTAAAAAGATTAATATTCTTCTAAACGGCAACGTACTTCCATGGTTTTTTTATATGTTCATCATAAAAAAAATTATGTTTTTTTTTTTAAGATGAATCGCCTAGCAAAAAAAAAAAATCTGACAAAATTTTCCTTTAAAAGAAGAAAACAAAATAAATGTTACGTGGGAAGTAGCCTGTGCTCAGCCATTTTGATTTTTTCAAATTAATATAATTCATATTGTTTTGTATATAAATATATGTGAAATAAGATCCGTCTTTTCCATTAAACAAAAAGATGTATTTATTTATCCTAAAAAAAATCTCTATATTAGGACAGTGGTACTCAACCTGCGCCCTGAAACGCAGTTATACATAATCATGAATTTTTTTTCTTTTTTTTTAAGTGACATAATAAACTGAAATCCATAATTGACTGACATAATTTAGATGTCATAATAGGCTGTCTAATGAGTTAATTGAATTGAAAAATAATACGTATTAAGAATTTGTATTTATTTATTTAGTGAATTTTATAAACCTAACCTAACCGAAATTACTGCAAATTTATGTGAATTTCAAGAATCACATTAATGTTGAAATAATGTTTAAATATAACAATGTTTGAATAAGGTACTAGTATTGTATTCCCATTGACATATTTCTTTTCTTTCTTTTTAGTCATCGATTGTGATATTGTTATTTTTAAAAACAAAAAATAAATAATTAGATCTTGTAATATTGTAGCCTGCTTTAAATTGAAGACGAATGTATACAGCTAGTGGAAAAAAAGCTTGAGTAGCCCTGTCCTAGTTCCTCAGGGATGGCATTGAACATTTTTTCCTGTTCCTTATATCTCGATTATCATTTATTCTTCCGAATATATCAAAACAGGTTTTCGACTACGTAATCAGACGTCCGTTAGTTTGAAAAGGAAGTGTCTTCAAAGTTATCAACGAGAATAATCCTTTTACGATATTTTTGTCGTAGTTTTATGAACGTGTCATGGTTTTACTACGATATGTGCACGATTACGTTGATTTTATATAATAAAGTATGACAAATTTGTAACTATTATCTCTTTACGATATTACGCGTATTGCAATTTTGTGTTTAGCATTAAAAAGTAATTACTTGAGAAATTATTGTAGTTTTTATTTTTTTTATTTTTAAAAGCACACTATAATGCAGAGAATTGAAAATTTAAACGTAGGCGGCACCGAGTTACCCCCCCCCCTCCCTTCCGTTCTTAAAAGTTGTATTGTATTTGAAAATAATACAAATATAGGATTCGTGAAAAAAGTTGAACTGACTGAACTGACTAGACCGAGACTCGAAACGGGATCTTCCACTTTTCGGATGACTGCTCTTATTAATTGAGCTATTTTAAACTTTATTGATCAACTTTTTCACGAATACCTATTTTTATTTGGTATTGAGGTGTTCGATTCCACACTTGATTATTCTGCAATAGTATTCGAGCCCGAATATTTTTCCTTTCGGCCCCATGACAATTAGTTCCTCAAATCGCCACACGTGTCGTTAGCGTCACCACCTATTTTTCGTATTTAAATAACAATGTTTTCTCATATTGTTGCACAATTTCCAAGTGTGTAAACCGAACTATCCCTCCAAAACCGATCGAATTTACTAATTTATAGTATTCGTGAAAAAATTGAGCTGCCAAGTTTTTCGTTTTCCGAGTAGATGCACTTATCCATTGAGTTATTCAGACCACACTTGGGGTCAACTTCCTCACGAATACCTATTTTACTTGGCATGTAGGTGCTCGATTCCAAACACATTTAAATACTTTTTTTTCTTCTTGTGCATGTTGATACATATCGTAGAAACTTATAGGCATTTTATAAGCATACAAATGGATAGCCTTTTCCTCTAGCGACATTGTGATTTGCATATAAGAATTTGCATATATGTATTTACGTGTTATCACCGAGCTGCCAGTCGCAATTAGATTTAACATATTTATTATAATACGTATATATACGTAGGAATATAAAATATATTTCTTATCTGTTAGATTTTGTTTTTTTCCATTTTTGCACTGATTATGTGTAATCAGGTATCATAATATTCATGCACAAGGACGATCGAAGCATACGCGTGGAGAAGTAAGACAAGGAAATTACGTTTACAGAAAATAATCTCGGTGGTATTCCAAACTCGTTTTTTAATATATTCCTTTGAATTATTTATTAAATACGTCGTATTTTTTTCTATCGCATATATCGTTGTTGTGACATTTATTTTATTTTGTTCTTTTTTTTTTTTGTACGCCGAAGTTACAACATAATATTTCGATAATCAATTATACAAAAATATGTTATAAAGTATCAAAAGATAATTGAAAATTATTAAACGCAATTGAAAAAAAGTATCTGATTGACGATTATAATAATTATGTGAAATATATAGGAAAAATAATATACGCGTTATTGATTGTTTATTAAATAATGAAATATTTATACGAAAGTGGCAATCATGGCTATGGATCTTGTAGCTATGACAAATCAAATAGATTCAATTGATAATCCGTAATGATCTGATGACTTAGCATGCGACATGAACGTACACAAAAGATGCGAAGAGAGCGTACCAAATCTTTGCGGATGCGATCACACCGAAAGACGTGGTCGTATACATCTTCTCATCACTGTTTCCGGTAGCAAGATGACCGTTGAAGGTACGTATATAATATGAATATTTTTATAATTCTAATACAGTAGAATCTCTATTATCCGAATGTGTTTCACATGTTTCATAATACAATATAAAACGAAACACATAAAACACGATTTATAGTCTGATTACAAAATGATGTAATTCTTACGCAACAACCTAGATGCAACATTATTTTTGGCAGGGTGAAAAATCTTCGCATAATATTTTTAGTTTAGTACCGAGGAGAATGCAGTAATGGATCAAGTCAAGTGGGTACCCTAGTGGTAACAATTTCAGGGTCCTTAAACTTAAATTAGAAAGAAAGAACGAGTTCTCAATAAAATTCTATTAATTTATCAATATGAAAGAAAAGTAATTAAATAACTAAACGAACAAAAAAATCTCTATGATATGTCATCTTTTAAACACACACAAGTGTTGCCATATTTGATTAATATAGATGTTTTTGTACTCTCCCTGTTATTAGTTTGATTTATTTTTCTACGAACATCCTCTCACACCTATTCAATACTATTAAAGGGGTCGTGTTTTTTTTACCACCTCTCTGGAATCAACAGCGCTCGGTTTTTGTTTTTTTTTTCGAATGGTTCATCCATTCATTTTATTAAACGTGCCAATGTTGCTTAATTTTAACGATTTTGATCAAAACCAATAATGCAAAGTAATAAAATTTGATTAAATTAACTCCTTGTCTTACAAAAACGAGTGAGACTCGTGGTAAGAAATTTCAGACAAAAACATTAAATACGAGCCTTACTCGTGATACTTTGTTCGGATAAAAAATAAAAGAGTTATGCGATCTTAAAATCATTTACCAGTCAAATACAAAGTAATTTTGTACTGAATTCAATATTTCTGTTAATAATACGTTTAATGTATATTTTAATATATGCTAACATATTTTCTTTTTAAATAAATGTATGAAAATCAACATAGTAATTATTCAATTATCTACTAATTTTATTATCCGAACATTATTCGATGTTTTCAACTTAATTCGGATAATCGAGTTTCTACTGTAATTATGAAATTTTCATTACCTTTGATAATATTTTATTTGTTTTGTTGCAGTAAAGGAAGGACGAAATCTCATTCCAATGGATCCTAATGGTCTTTCGGATCCTTACGTCAAACTGAAATTGATTCCTGATTCGGATACCGTGAAGAAGAAAACGAAAACGATCAAGTCATCTTTAAATCCTGAATGGAATGAGACGATCATATTGTGAGTTATTTTATTTCAAAGAGAGAGAGAGGTTACAATGTTATATTTTACTTATTAATTTTTATTGCTATAGACGCATATATGCGTCCAGGGAAAATTAACAATGTGTACTAAGAGCGCATATATGCATCCAGTCATAAACTATCTGTGTGTACTAAAAGCGCATATATGCGACCAGAGAAAACTAGCTGTGTATTAGGACGCATATATGCGTCCTGTATAAACTAACTGTGTGTACTAAGGACGTATATATGCGTCCAAAGAAATCTATTTGTACAGAATATGAATGCATATATATATATGTGCAGTTTTTTTTTCTATAGAATTTTTTAATTGCATTTTGTGTATTCAATATGGTTGACAATTGCAAAAAAAGTAATCCACCCCCAACGATTGCAACCGCTAGGCAAGAGCATTTAACATTTAAAAGGTTCAGATATGATTCGATATTTTTCTTTTGATTTTAATTACTTTTTCGAAAAAACAAAACAATTGAAAATTCAGCTCAGACACTTGTAGAGTTGCCGAAATTTTTTCATGTTACTCTAATAATTGCTTCATAATGCTTGTACACCACAAGAAATTTTCATAAGGAAGGGAAATAGTTGGCACATTAAAATAAAAATCGGCAAGACTTAAGTTTATCATATTATTTATAAACAAAAATGACTCGAATATTCTTTTTTATTTTTTAATGATGAAATTTAACAGGGAACTTGGACATGAAAGAAGTAGAACTATGTTTGATTTAGTTGGACGTTTCGTCCYTTTATTGGGACTTMTTCAGCAAYTTAATCWWHAMAGTTCAGCGTCTTTTTTCATTGAGTAGACATACATTTTTCTTTTTATTATTAATATTCAAAACACAAAACATCTAAACTTCGTTAAATTGATCGTTATTATTTAA